CATCATCCTGATACCAAAGCCTGGCAGAGACACAACAAAAAAAGAGAATTTTAGGCCAATATCCCCGATGAACCTTGATGCGAAAATCCTCAACGAAATATTGGCAAACCGAATCCAGCAGCACATCAAAAAGCTTGTCCACCACGATCAAGCTGGCTTCACCCCTCGGATGCAAGGCTGGTTCAACATACGCAAATCAATAAACGTAAGCCAGCATATAAACAGAACCAAAGACAAAAACCACATGATTATCTCAATAGATGCAGAAAAGGCCTTCGACAAAATTCAGCAGCGTTTCATGCTAAAAACTCTCAATAAACCAGGTATTGATGGAACATACCTCAAAATAATAAGAGCTATTTATGACAAACCCACAGCCAATATCAGACTGAATGGCCAAAAACTGGAAGCATTCCCTTTGAAAACTGGCACAAGGATGCCCTCTCTCACCACTCCTATTCAACATAGTATTGGAAGTTCTGCCCAGGGCAATCAGGCAAGAGAAAGAAACAAAGTATATTCAGATAGGAAGAGAGGAAGTCAAATTGTCTTTGTTTGCAGATGACATGACTTTATATTTAGAAAACCCCATCTCAGCCCAAAATCTCCTTAAGCTGATAAGCACCTTCAGCAAAGTCTCAGGATACAAAATCACTGTGCAAAAATCACAAGCATTTCTATACACCAATGACAGACAGAGAGCCAAATCATGAGTGAACTCCCATTCACAATTGCTACTAAGAGAATAAAATACCTAGGAATATAACTTCCAAGGGATGTGAAAGACCTCTTCAAGGAGAACTATAAACCACTGCTCAAGGAAATAAGAGAGGACACAAACAAATGGAAAGACATTTCATGTTCATGGACAGGAAGAATCAATATCAGGAAAATGGTCTTACTGCCCAAAGTAATTTATAGATTCAATACTACCCCTCCCTGCCGCCTCAAGCTACCAATGACTTTCTTCACAGAACTGGAAAAAACTACTTTAAAATTCATATGGAACCAAAAAAGAGCCCACATAGCCAAGACAATCCTAGGCAAGAAGAACAAAGCTGGAGGCATCATGCTACCTGACTTCAAACTATACTACAAGGCTACAGTAACCAAAACAGCATGGTACTGGTACCAAAACAGAGATTTAGACCAATGGAACAGAATGGAGGCCTCAGAAATAACACCACACATCTACCACCATCTGATCTTTGACAAACCTGACACATACAAGCAATGGGGAAAAGAGTCCCTATTTAATAAACGGTGTTGGGAAAACTGGTTAGCTATAGGCAGAAAACTGAAACTGGACCCCTTCCTTAAACCTTATACAAAAATCAATTCAAGATGGATCATAGACCTAAACATAAGACCTAGGACCATAAAAATCCTAGAAGAAAACTGGGCAATACCATTCAGGACATAGGCACAGGCAAAGATTTCATGTCTAAAACACCAAAAGCAATGGCAACAAAAGCCAAAATTGACAAATGGGACCTAATTAAACTAAAGAGCTTCTGCACAACAAAAGAAACTATCATCAGAGTGAACAGGCAAACTACAGAATGGGATAAAATATTTGCAATCTATCCATCTGACAAAGGGCTAATATCCAGAATCTACAAAGGACTTAAACAAATTTACAAGAAAAAAGCAAACAACCTCTATCAAAAAATGGGCAAAGGATATGAACAGACACTTTTCAAAAGAAGACATTTATGCAGCCAACAGACACATGAAAAAATGTTCATCATCACTGGTCATTAGTGAAATGCAAATCAAAACCACAATGAGATACCATCTCATGCCAGTTAGAATGGCAATCATTAAAAAGTCAGGAAACAACAGATGCTGGAGTGGTTGTGGAAAAATAGGAACACTTGTACACTGTTGGTGGGAGTGTAAATTAGTTCAGCCATTGTGGAAGATAGTGTGGCGATTCCTCAAGTATCTAGAACTAGAAATACCATTTGACCCAGCCATCCCATTACTGGGCATATACCCAAAGGATTATACATCATTCTACCATAAAGACACATGCACATGTATGTTTATTGCAGCACTATTCACAATAGCAACTTGGAACCAACCCAAATGTCCATCAATGATAGACTGGGTTAAGAAAATGTGGCACATATACACCATAGAATACTATGCAGTCATAAAAATGGACGAGTTCGTGTCCTTTGCAGGGACGTGGATGAAACTGGAAACCATCATTCTCAGCAAACTATCACAAGATCAGAAAACCAAACACCGCATGTTCTCACTCATAGGTGGGAGTTGAACAATGAGAACACTTGGACACAGGGAGGGGAACATCACACACTGGGGCCTGCTGGGGGTGGGAGGCTAGGGGAGGGATAACATTAGGAGAAATACCTAATGTAGGTGATGGGTTGACGGGTGCAGCAAACTACCATGACACGTGTATACCTATGTAACAAAACTGCACGTTCTGCACATGTAATCCAGAACTTGAAAAAAAAAAAAGTTTAGTGGAGTTAGAATGCATTGCATAGCCACTGAAATATCTGCTAGTCTGCAACTCTTTGCATAATACCCTGATGGGATAAAGACATAAGGATTTGGGGTATCTTAGTCTTGTAAAGTGATTCAGAAGGGATATTCTCTTATGGTGTGCATTCTTGTGAAGCTTCCAGTGTCAATATTTTACAAGAAGAGTATCAACTTTGCTTTTGTCCAAGTAGGAGGCCAAGTAAGATACAGACTACAAATGAGGTTAAGGTTACCCCACAATGACCTAGCAAATGAGGTTAAGGTTACCCCATAATTGACTCAGCAACTGTCAAGACCAAGAGAAAAGGGGAAATAGTTTCAATATACAGAATTTGATTTTTTACTGGCAAGCCATATAAAACGTTAGAAACTCAAGATACTTTAAAAAACACTCAAAGGGCATTAAGAGTTAGTATCTCAGGGAACTATATGAATTACAGGTGTCTCAAATTCACATTAACAGATGGAACCAATTATTTCTTAAAAATATTGACAGGCTAAAATAATCTTGCCTCTGTCAACAGAACTAAAAATGATTTTGATGAACGAGTACCTTAGTCTGACATAGTTTCACTGGCAGAATGATAACTAAGGCTGGGTATACTTGACCAAGAGAACTGTAACATGGATATACTTGCTTGGCAAAGAAACTTAAAATCAGCAGAAACACAATGTGCAGTTATCTCCAAACCAATTAAAAATAAGAAGATATCGCACTAGTAATTTATAAGCAAATGTGAGAGTCAAGGTAGAAAAGTAGAAGTGATGTATTTTAAGTATATAGCAAAAGAATGATGGTCTTCTTGAGCACTTACTATGTGCCAGGCACATTGCTAACTGCTTAACAGTCAATGTGGCCTAGTAATTAAGAGCTAGGTCTCTGGAGCCAAGCTGCCAAGGTTCAAATGCCAGTTCTCCCATCAACTGTGTGACCTTGAGCAAGCTATTAATCTCTCTATGCCTCTATTTCCTCATCTATAAAATATGGATAATGATGCTACCTCCCTCCCAGAATTGTGTGAGAATCAAATGAGTTAGCACCTGTCAAGTGCCGAGAACGCAGCCAGGCACACAGTTAGTGCTACAAAAGTGTTAGCTGCTGTCGTTCTTAAAGCTAAGCGACAGGCAGAGCTAAAATTCAAACCCCAGGACAAACTTTCCACTTTAAACACTGTGTATACTGACTAAACAAGACCTTACTGATAAATGAGTTAATTAACAGTGATACAGTGCTGTGTTTCTTGAAAATAAAGAAAACTACAAATAGATGAAAACTGTGCAGTAACCATCAAAGGAATGAGTGAGGCTTGCCAATGGAATTAGATGTGGGAGACACACAAAACACCGCCTTGGGGTCAGGAGACCCAGGTTCTAACACCAGTTCAACAACCAAGTAGCTGCGTATCCTTGACTGGCCACTGAAAATGCGGGGTCTAAACTTCCTCATCTGTAAACAAGGGGACGGATAACTCTGAGGTGTCTTCTAGTGCTGACATCTTATGATACTATGACCCAACAGAACATATAGTAGTTTAAAGATGTACCTTTCAGAAAAAAAAAAAAAGGCACTATTATTTATTTTTTGAACAGCTACATGTATCTCAACAGGTGCATCACCTAGAATGTAGTTGTAATTATAATTCTGGGCATAGCAACTGCAGGAGAATGAAATAGACAGCACAGAGGAGCAAGTGTACCATATATTTTTAAATGCCATTAAAATATAAACAGGTTAATCTAAGAAATAAGAATTTTTATAACAACGTAATACTTTTCCAAAGTAAATTTTATAAATGGGGTAATTTTATGTAAGTGGTTAACAAATCATTCATATATTGTTTTATAATCAAGTTGAGAAATGATACAATTTACCTTTTTGCCCATGACGACTGCTGAATTTGTCTCCAATTTCTGGACGCCTTGTCTGTCTCAGCAGCATTTTGATCAGAAAAGCATCTTCAGCATTTGAAGATATCATCACTTTTTCAATGTATGAATCTGTGGCTCCTTTATAGCTGGTGTTAAGAGAAAGTCACTAAAACAGAGTTTTCAAACTGCCCTTTGTGACCTTCTCACCCATGTTATATTTCATTTCATGCCTACCATAGAGTACTCTGACATTTTCATCTTGGGCTCTGAAAAATGACTTCCATTTTTTTAAAACATTAAATTCAAATTTCACAATTTCCCTTTTACAACACTACACATTTATTATGAGGAAGGCACAGTGCAATTTAATCCTCACAACAGTCCATACTGTTATTCCCTTAATATAGATGAGGAAAACTGATGCTTAGAGGAGTTAAGTAACTTGTCCAAGGGCACATGACTCATACAAAGTGGTACTGGGATTTCAGACTCAACTCCTAGTTCTTAATGGTAATAGTACTTTTACTTACTCAGCTTTTCAATTATTAATTTTTTTTCACATAACAAACATTATTAGAAATCTACCACGTATCAGATCCTGGTAGCCTTTGGACACCTAACAATTAAGTAGACACAGTTACTGCACCAAAGGAGCTCACAATCCAATCAAGGAGGAGACAGGAGACAAGTGCAGTAGACATCTGGTGTGAAGAACAGGAGAGGCTCAAGGGAGATAGTCAATTCTGCTGGGAGTGGGGGATGACAGTGGTGGCAGGGAGTGGCAGGCTGTCAAGCCCTGCCACAGAAGAGGTAACCCTCAACTTGAGACCTGACCAGAGTGGGTCACTGGCAGAGTGGCAGCCTGAGCGATTGCACAAGGCCTAATTGAATTAGGATGGCACATTTTGGATAATAAGAGGTGATTTCCTAGAAACATACAGCTTAGTGTGTGAGGGGGAGGCCAGGGAGGTGTGCTGAGGATGCCTTTCCCACAGGCGCCCCTGTCATTCATACTTTCACTTAACTTACTCAAGTTTCACTCTATTTATCCAAGAAAGTAACATAGCCAGAGGAGTAGTTTAGAAAATCACCCAGCCAGGCACGGTGGCTCACGCCTGTAATCCCAGCACTTTGGGAGGCAAAAGCGGACGGATCATGAGGTCAGGAGATCGAGACCAGCCTAACATGTGAAACCCTATCTCTACTAAAAATATAAAAATTAGCTGGGCGTAGTGGCATGCCCCTGTAATCCCAGCTACTCAGGAGGCTGAGGCAAGAGAATTGCTTGAATCCAGGATGTTGAGGTTGCAGTGAGCCAAGATTGCACCACTGCACTCCAGCCTGGACGACAGAGCGAGACTCTGTCTCAAAAAGAAAAAATCACCCTAGCAGTGATGCAGAGAGAGCCTGAGAGGTACCAGCCTGGAGGCAGATGGACAGTTAACAAGAACTCCAGGCAGAGCAGAGGGCCACAGCGCAGACACTGCAGCAGGAAGGAGAGAAGAGAGCTGCTAAGATGACAGGAACTACAGGATTGGTGTGTGTGGCAGGTAAAGGAAAGGAGTCAGATTGTGCTGGTGACCGGCTGGCTGCTGGCGGCTGATGCCATTTACCAAGACAGGGATCCAGGAGGAGGAGCCTGTTTGGGGCCACTGTAAAGCTGCCCAAGTGCTGATAGGAAGCTGACACCAGGCAGATGTCTATATGGGAGTCATCAGCAAAAAGAAGGTGACTGGAGTGCTGAGAATTGGGGAGCTTGTCCGGATGAGGCTCAAGAATCATCCCGGCCAGGGTGAAGTCACCACAAGGCCAGAAAGGATGGGGGGCTAAGAGTGAGTGATTAGACCGATAGGGAGGGCCAGGTGAGAGCAGTGTCACAACATCAAGGGAAGGGAGAGGTCAGTGGCGTCAAATGCTATAGAAGGGTCACATGAAATTCATTCATTCATATGATAACTATTTACTGAATGAATACCCACTATACCCACTATGTGCCAGGTACTATGCCAGACACTAGGGGGTACAAGGTGAAAAAAAGAGACAAAGTCCCAGTCTGCAAGAAGATTCCGACTGAAGAGTCTGTCTGATTTGGCAAATTTGACTACACATGGGTTTTGCTTATTTCTTTACTTCCTCTCTTCCCGCACTGGGGTGTGATTCCCACAAAGACAGGTACTGCTGGTTTTCCTCCCTGCACTATCCCATGCGCCTGGAATAGTTCCTGGCATACTGTTAATGCTCAAAAAGTATTTCTTAAGGGCTGGGTGCCATGACTTATGACTCCCAGCACTCTGGGAGGCCGAGGTGGGCGGATCATGAGGCGAAGAGTTCGAGACCAGTCTGGACAACATATTGTATTTTTTATTTTTGTAAAAATACAAAAAATTAGCCGGGTGTGGTGGTGTGCACCTGTAGTCCCAGCTACTCAGGAGGCTGAGGCAGGAGAATCGCTTGAACCGGGAGGTGGAGGTTGCAGTGAGCCGAGAAAGTGCCATTGCACTCTAGCCCGGGTGACAGTGCAAGACTCAGTCTCAAAAACAAAAGTATTTCTTGAATGAAATGAACATATAGGATGTCTTTGGTGACCTCTTCTGGAGCTGTTTCAGGAGAATGAGGAGGTAGGTAAGAGGCCAGTTCCGAGGGTTAGGGAGTGAGCAGAAGGTAACAAAGTAGAAATGGAGATGACGGACGACTGCTCTGAGGAGCTTCACAGTCAAAGGAAGAGGAATACAGTGGCAGCTAGAAAGGGACACAAAGACCAGAAAAAACTTTTATTTTCCTTTACAGGTGAAAAGTATCTGAGCACATTTTCTAACCTGTAAAGAAGGAATCAATAGGAAACAGGTTGAAAATATGGGAGGATAAAAGAGAAGATGACAGAAAAAGGTCTCTGAAAAAGAGTGAATAAAATTAAGAAACCAAAAGGAGAGATGAACTTTGCACAGAAAAAGAGATATCCTCCTTCAAGACAGGAACAGAGCCAACCAGCATAGCCACCTCTGTAACTGTAAAATAGCTGTTCACCCTGTAGAAGTCAGTGTAAGAGTCTGGACCCATCCCCTAAGCATAGCTGCCCATTTTCTCCTTGGTGCTCCCCCTCCAGAGACAAATCCATGGCACCCGAGATGACTCTCTTGCTGTGTTTAGCACAATGGTCAAGAGAAGCGCTCTGAAGCCAGATTGCATGACTTCAAATCCTGGTGCTGCCCCTTACTGCTGTGTGACCTTGGTAAGTTACTTAACTTCTCCTTGCTTCCATCTTATCTTTCTAATGAGCCACTAACAGAACATAGCTCCTAGGGTGGTGGTAGGATTAACTGAGCTAACACATGTAAAATGTCCAGAACAGTAACTGGTACAGTATAAATTCCCAATAAGCTATTATGATCACGGTCATTACCGCACTTTTTTTGTGTGGGGGTCTTTGCCAACTAAATACGACTCCTTGCAAGCAACACCTGTGGCTTATTTCAGCTCTATATCACTGGCACAAGAGGCAGGGTGGCTGGCACACAGCAGGCCTCAGCTACTGTGTATTGAATACATTTGTAAAACTGCCATCACAGCTCAAGAATCCAGTTCTCCTATGTCACCCTCACTGCCACCTCCTAAACTCAGTTAGCCTAGTTCACCTTGGCTAGGTTAAATGTCTCTCCTAGTTTGGTTTTTATATTACAATGTGGTGACTATCATCGGCCCTTCTCACTAGGTTCATACTTTATTAAATTTTAGAGCTTAGAAGAAATTTAGAGATTAACAAGTCTAACTCTTTCATTGTATTATACAAATGAAAAAACTGAAGCTAACAGAATTTAAATGCTTTACTCATGTAAGATACACAAGACAACCTGTACGAGAGCTGGGCTATGTTCTAGTATACTGTGATGCCATGCTGTGGCCAGTGTGTTTCACTGTTTAAAAATATGACTCTTATCATGTCCCTCTCTGCAGTATCAATTCCCAACTCTTTCACAACCTACCCCAGCAAGCTGCACTGATCCTCAAACCCAAGCACTATTATGCCATGTACCCTTCATCCTGTTGTTAATTCCACCAGGAACCCCTGCCTATGTGGTCCACACCTCAAACCCAGTTTAGGGTCTATATGATTCCATAGACTAGTTTTATATTCTATGCCATGCTTGTTTCATGACAAGTAATGTTACCCCAAATTGCTATTTCTAGTTCTCCAACACACCAAGACCTACCTTCTAATTTCTCCCATTCCTTCTTTTTTTCTAACCTTTCTACATGTTATCAAGGCACAACCAATACATACGTTATGGGTACATCTTTGTACTGTGGTTGCTGTGGTACATTACTTCCTTCCAAAGGAATCTGAGTCACCGTGGGCATGGACTTATTTACAAGCACTTGTTTGTTTTCTACTTTCTCACCTGAGAAGAAAAGAAAAGTGTTAGGCATATTGTTATCATCTGTGTGGAATAAAGATTACGAACTAGGCACAGATGAACATGCCTGTAGTCCCAACTACTTAGGAGGCTGAGGTAGGAGGACTGCTTGAGCCCAGGTTGAGGCTGCAGTGAGCTATGATCATGCCACTGCACTCCAGCCTGGGCAACAGAATGAGACACAGACACACACACACACACACACACACACACACACATCATAGTGTATATAAAATTAAGAAAATAATTCAGAGTACTATGTTAACATAAGAAACACCATCTCAGTAAATAGCAATTTTATATATCTCTTAGGATGTTAAGTTTTGATCACTTATTTTTATTTACAGTTATTTCAACCAGTAATAAGCCACCACCAATTCAACTTGGGCAATGAGGAAATCAAAATATTTCTTTGGTTTTGCTGTTATTCCCATTATTGCTTTGTATCTCTTCCTGGTAAGCTCAAAGACCAACTACCTGTAGTACTGTCATAGCGCATATTTTCCAAGCCATACTGACCAGGGTTAGGATGAGAAAAATCCTCCAAGAAACAAAGGCAGACAGAGGGAGGAGAAGTCACATACTCTGTGTCTCTTTGGAATCACAGCTTGATAAAGCATTCACCACCCACAGGCCAACCATGACAAAGTCATGTGGATTTTCCTCCTAACAACTGGGTTCTCTCCACCTTCACCACAGCTCCTGGTACCAGGTCTACCTTCTATTTCAGTGCCCTTCTAATCCTTTTTCTACACTGTAGTCAGAATGATCATTTCAAAACACATATCTGAATATATCACTGCTTTTAGGATCATAATGAAAATAGTATCACGGGCTCAGCATGGTGGCTCACGCCTATAATCCCAGCACTTTGGGAAGCCAAGGTGGGTGGAGAACTTGAGCCCAGGAGTTCGAGACCAGCCTGGGCAAGATGGTAAGACCTCATCTCTACAAAAAATACAAAAAACTAGCCAGGCATGGTGGCACGCGCCTATGGGTCCCAGCTATCCAGGAGGTTGAAGTGGGAGAATCGCTTGAATCCAGGAGGCAGAGGTTGCAGTGAGCTGAGATTGTGCCACTGCACTCCAGCCTCGGTGACAGACTGAGACCCTGTCTCAAAAATAAAATTAATAAAATAAAATAAAGACAATACTAACACAGTTGCAAGGACTTGCTTACTCTGGCACCTACCCCGCGCGTCACCCACCAACTCATGCGCACCATGCTTCCCTGCACTCTCTTCTTGTTAGCCGCACTGGTCTTCTTTCAGATCTTTCAACTACCAAGCTCCGGGACCCTTGCACAAGCTTTTCTTACTACTTAGAACACGCTCCCTGACCCTCTTCTTTAGTTAACTCTTCCCTATCCTTCAGATTCCAGCTCACTTCCTTGGGGAAGGCCATGCTGATCTTCCTAACTAGGTCAAATCCTCTTGCTATAAAATGGCCTCATAGCTACCTATATGATTCCTTAACCTGCGTTTGTGCATGATCCTCTGATCAATGTCAGTCTCCTGCACCAGCCTGTGAGACCCATAAGGGCAAGGACTATTTGTTTCATCAACAAAATGCATTACAAGTTTGTAATTATAATGGAGTCATACCTTTGCAGGGGGATAAAATTCTAAAGTAGTCTGTAAGCTAAATGCGTAAATGAAGAAATACCAGTGCAGATGCAGGGACACGAACTACTCTAAATATTTCCTTAAAGTGGCTTTTCTATTATTCAAAATCATAACTAGAAAATTACAGTTAGCATAGCTTACTGATAGGTAAAAACATAGTGTATAGAAAAACAAACTGGAAGGAAATTCACCAAAAATGACCTCATTGGTTGAGTCTGGATAGTGGTTTTATAGGTTGTTACGTTTGTCTGCCCTTTTTGTCAAATATTCAGAAATATTATGGAATAACACATGATTTCAAAGGTATATATTAAAAATATTTCTTTCAAAAGGCTTTTACCTGGAGAACAAATACCATCTGCATCTAAGATTTCATGTCGCCAGATAGGTTTCCTTGTAGCAGCATCCAACATGGGCCCCATTACTTTATCAAAAGTCTGATTGGTATATCGTTTCAATGTACATTTAGCATTTTTATATACAAGGCAACGCCCAAAGCCTAAAATGAAACCAAAATGGGCATTAGAACCACCAGTAATCCAAAGCTATAAGAAAACATGGATTTGTGCTACTCAGCAATCCACTCCACCTCACTCTCCCCCAAATCCCAAAGCTTCTCTGTATTTGATCATAATCTGGGACCAGTACAAACCAAATAAAAATCTGATAATCTGAAGAAGTGGCACAGGACTTGTCCCCTACCTACTGTCTGTGTAAACACTGGAATCTCTACAACCATTTTCTGCATGGAATACACCTTGTCAAACTGGAGAAGGATGAGAGAAATCTAAGACTGGCACTGTGATTCTTTCAGAGGACAGAGCCATAGAATATTAGAATTGGAAAGGGCCTTAGAAATCACCTGCTTAACCTATCCCTTTCACAGGCACTAGGAGTGAGGTCCAGAGAAATTAAGTGGCCAAGGTCATCTAGCAAGTTGGCAGCAGAGTTGAGGACTGTGTTAAACAGCACAAGGCCACTGACTCCTGAGCCAGGACACACATCCTTTTGGTGCACAACTTCTGCTAACCTTCCCTGGGAAGTTTTTCTTTTTAAAATTTGGCATTTAGAGCAAGTTCTAAGCCAGCAAGTAAAAACATTAATTTTCCTCCAGAGAAGAGACAGAATGAAAAAAGAACAATCAAATTATTTCAATGGGAAAAATAGTTCTCCTCTTCCCTAAAGATTGGAGTTTAATGACATTTTTAGATTGCATTTATCTAGTGGATGAGGGAAAAGCTGTGAAGTCAACTAACAATCTGAACATTAAGAAAAATAAGCTGTCTACCAATGGATCCGAAAAATAAAAGGAAGAAAAATAAGCAAAAAGGACAGAAGAAAAACCTTTGGGTGGGGCAAAAAAACTCAACCACTGAATCCCTAAAAGAAAAAAATCCATGAGTTGTAGAGTTACCCAAAACAGCTGTCATTCCTTCAACACTATAATTTCCTAAGATTCTGTGGCTGCATTTCTTTCTTTTTTCCCTTTGGCCAAGCAGTTATTTTAAACTAGATTCTCTTACTAATCTCCTCAGGATATATTGAGCCATGCCAGAGTTCACTTAAATAAGAAAATGTCTCAGGATTCAATGCCAGTTATTACTGATGAAATAAATGCATGGCTGTAAAATCCTTCACTTAACAATTTTCCACCAAAAGCAGAAATCTAAGAATGTGACTTTAGAAATCAATCAGGTAAAAGTGGATTTATAAATAAAATCTCAGGGCTGTAATGTAATTTTTTAAATATGAAGGTGACTGTGAGATGAAGTAACAAATTTCTACAACTGGATGTCAGATGAAGACATTTGTGTCTTTAAGCAAGGCCGTAGTCATCATGGCTCCTAGGAAATTGTGTATGGCCATAATAAACTGGGCTCAGAATGCCAGCTGGTTTGGAAACATTACATGATCTTGAAATTTCATATAGTAGCCATTAACTGCAACATGCTGAAGTGCAATGTGAATCTTAACTGCATGAAATCAAGAACTGTTTTCTTCAAAGTGTAAAGAGACATTTTATTCACAGGTGATAGCTTAAGAGCTAGCGGACAGTAAACTCAGATCATTAAATTGGGTTGCAGAGTTTCTGACACACATCACAAAGTCTTCAGATTTCCACATAAATGTTACCAGTTAATCAGAAAGGAAAACATCTAGTTTTAAAGCATGGCTGTTGTCATTTGGAGGAAAAAAAGAGGCATAAATTAAGTGTGGCCAACATTAATGCCAAAGACACATGTCTAGGAGTACTATTATGGCTGCCTAGCAACTACAAAGAGGGAAGGGGAAGGCATAGTGGGTATGCCAGAAAGGAAAAAGAGAAATCGAGATTATGAATAGAGAAGTCAGACTTCAGATCAGGTGATGTCTAACAAATCACGAAGTGGTGACTTGCGAAAGTAATTGTCAAAAAAAGAAAGAAAAGCAGAAAAACTCCACGCCAGAGTTTGCGGCCGTATATTTTTAACTTTCGTCGCTTGGCCAAAGAAGGTACCAAATTATGAGGTTATGCAAATAAGAAACAGCTTTTTACATCCAGATATTGCTACTGCCCTCTCAAACAGGTTTGTTAATAATATATATCACTAGATACAGTGAAAACACATATTTCATATATTGTAATTCCTGCTGTAAAACACATTCTTACGTTTTTTTCTCTTTGAAGGACTGTCTCACGTAACCCAATAAAATAACAGAGAAGAAAAATATTCTGTAGTAGTATGTTTAACAAATTATCTCAATATACTATTCATTAAAAATGACAAGAAAGCCAGCATCAAAACCCAACCATCTCCTGTTTCTATATCATAAAATTCAAATAACTTGAAATGACATTAACCAAGTGATCTCTACATTAATCATCGCTATATCTAACTCTGCAAAAAGCACCTTTGGCGTTAGTTTTGAAAATTCACTTACCTCTGTCTAAAGAGGCCTTGTTTAAAACAAGGGCATCTTCAATATCATAGCCACTATAGCTCATCACAGCAACTGTTGCATTCTGTCCAGCTGGCAGTTTCTCAAATTCTATCAATTCAATGGTTTTTGTCTTAACCATGGGTTTTTGTGGATATGCTAGTAGATACATGAGAGTATCAATTCTGTTTCGCTGGTTGTATCCTATAGTACCTGCATTGATATTGAAGAAAACAAAATACAACATTCTATTATGTCAAATAATAAGGTAGTAATGAAAATAGAGATAAATACATTAACATCACTAATTAAAATGAAGAAACTCTTCAGGTTCAAAATTTCAAAAGCAATACTCTCATGGTGGCTTAACAACTTGTAAAAGCAACTTTTCTCACTAATATTTAAAGTTTTAAAGTCCTACAAAGAAGGAAAAATATACTCAGAGTATATCTTAATCTAAATAATTTAGACTTTTTGGATTTATATTATCCCATTTAAGGGATTTAGTTTCCACTGGTTAACTTCACAATCAACAATTCTTTATTCGGTTCTACCATGTTCCAGGCCTGCTGGGGAGAGGTAATGTAAGATAACGCCCAGTGTTCACATCCAAGGAGCTTATAAAATGGATAAACAGGTATATTCCATAAAAAGAAATAAACAATTACAAAAGTTCTAAATGAAAAAGAATACAGGAGAGAAGGGAAGAAAAAGAATGAACAAAGAGGAATTAAGTGAGAGCAAGGAAGAGGGGATTATTCATTTATTTGATGATTCACTTATTAAGCAGTTAATAAACATCTACTCTGTGCCAAACACTGGAGATAAAATGGGAAAAGGCTTGGTCCCTTCCTTAAGAAATCTAGGGTACAGCCCAATCAGGGGTGGGCTCTTCCCTCCTTAGCAATCAGTCTTTCCACCTGATTGTTCCTCAGAAGGGTGTTATTGGGTCACTGTCAACTGAATATGAAATCAGAAGGTTAACCCTTTCTCTCATCCCTTTCTCTCATTTCCCCTCATAAACACAGTGGGGTTCATGGACCTGTCTGAAGAAAAGTCTTTTAGTCTCCTGGGCTTGTGGGCACAGAACTGATGCTACACAGAGACGTTAAATTTGGAAAACTCAGTCTTGCTCTACCGTTGAGCTTGAGTGTGGGCTACAGAGCCTCTTTAACTTCTCCTAGGTATCTCTTTTTTTTTCCCCCGTGAATAGCTAAGAACAGATGTTAGTGTTAGAAAAAAGAAGCTAGCTTTAAGCCTCTCTCTCTTGCACATGCTTCCATGGTGACACATGCACAACACACACACCACACACACACACACACACACACACACACTCCAAAGTACCTAAGTGCCATTTCACAGAGTTACACCCTAGGGTGTGCAGACACCAAAACTCAATATTCATTTCCTTTAACTTTTTCTCCATACTCATGTCATTAAATCAATGATGATTTCATTTTGGGGATGAAAGTAAGTTATTCAGGCTGGGCGTGGTGGCTCATGCCTGTCATCCCAGCACTTTGGGAGGTCAATGTAGGTGGATTGCTTGAGCTCAGGAGTTCAAGACCAGACCTTGAGCTCAGGAGTTCAAGACCAGACATGACAAAATCATGTCTCTACTAAAAATGCAAAAATTAACTGGGCATGGTGGTGTGTGCCTGTAGTCCCAGCTACTTGGGTGGCTGAGGCATGAGAAGTGCTTGAGCCCAGGAAGTAAAGGTTGCAGTGAGCTAAGATCATACCACTATACTCAAGCCTGGGCAACAGAGCAAGACCCTGTCTCAAAAAAAAAAAAAAAAGAAGAAGAAAAGAAAAAGAAAATAAACCAAGCAGCAAAAATGATACGGTACTCCTTGACAATTACTATTGAAATAAATAGTAAATATGTAGGGAATACCTAGTACAGTGACAGTGCCATGCTTATTATATAGATTATAGATGCTCAATAAATGTCAAGTGAATTAAACTGAAGAATCCCATTATACTTTTTATGACAGTATGTGCTTAAATCTCTAAAAATTTAACAGGATTCAGCTGAAAAACAAGTCGAACTGAACCTCATGAACTTTTTATCGAGTTTGCACTATAAATTGCCAATTAATTTATGCTATTTTAGTGCCAACTAATAAACTGGGCAGGATACCTGGCAATAGATCACTTACTGTTTTAGAAATAAGATTACTACTGCTGGGATTATGGTAAAGTTCACTGACAATAAGTTTGTCCTTTTATATGAAATCACTTAAAATTTATGTTGAGATTTCAGTTCCAATTGTATACTTTACTCAGCTGGAGACAAGGGTTCAGGCAATGTCCCACCAGGCTGCCAAACATGTCTTCTGAAACCTGAGACATGCATTATTATGCAGCAGGGAAACATAAATGGCTGCACCTCTAAACAATGGTGAAAGAGACTGGATCCTGCTATAAATTGTGCTAACAGGCCCAGAACATAATTCTCAGGCATTACAACTGACCACTGAATGGATGAACAACAAAATAGTTTAGCAAATGTTTAGTGCTTACGACATCAAAAAGTTTTCTCTAAAGGCTTTTCAAAAAACTTGTGATAGTATACATATACGTGCATTTTTAGCAGCACCGACTATGGGTGTGTAAGTTAAAATGTTAAAATAGGACTTATAAACTATTCTATGTCATAAAACTTCAAAATGCTATCAGATTCCCAAATTTTTATAAAAATAATGAATGGCTGACTAACCATTTTGCCAAGAAGCAATAGGCAAGCAAATGATAGGGCTTGTGTGTGTGCAGCACATGCTCAAACTCTGATTCCCCTATTACTATTTTCAGCTTCCTTAAAAAGGGAGACCACTCATATATGGATTTTCTTTTGCCTCTACTGCCCCTGAGACAGCAAGACCAATCTCTCTCTTCCTCTACACCTCAGCCTACTCAGTGTGAAGACGACGAGGACAAAGACCTTTATGATAATCCATTTCCACTTAAAGAATAATAAATATATTTGCTCTTCCTTATAATTTTCTTAATAACATTTTCTTTTATCTAGCTTATTTGAATTGTAAGAATATAGCATATAATACATATCACATACAAAGTAAGTGTTAATTGACTATGTTATTGGTAAGACTTTCAGTCAACAGTAGGCTATTAGTAATTAGCTTTAGGGGAGTCAAAAGTTATACATGGATGTTCAACTGTGAGAGGAGTTGATGCTCCTAACCCCTGTGTTGTTCAAGAGTCAACTGTAACACTGGTTGAGCATCCTTAGTCAAAAATCCAAAGTCCAAAATGCTCCTAAATCAGAAACATTTTGAGCACCAATATGCCGCCACAAGTGGAAAACTCCACACCTGACCTCATGTGATGGGTTGTAGTCAAAACTTAGTCAAACTTTGCTTCATGTACAAAATTATTAAAAATATCGTATAAATTATCTTTAGGCTACGTGTATAAAGTGTGTATGAAACTTAAACGGATTTCATGTTTAGACTTGGGTCCCATCCCCAAGATATCTTATTATGTATATGCAAATATTTCATAATCCAAAAAAATCCAAAATCTGAAACACTCTTGGTCCTAAGCATTTCAGGTAAGGGATATTCAACCTGTAATAAATAACAGAGCCCCTGACTTAAAGGGGCTTATAATTTACATTCTACCAGAAAAGGCAGCCTGATCGTGATCCACAATGGACAGGAAAAAAATGAGAAAAGAAGTTAGTTTTGGTTGAGAAGAATTTTAGTAAGCTTTATAGGTAACATTACATAGAAGACATAGAAAACCTTTTATATGTTACTCAACAAAAGTGGGATTCAGCTTCCTTGTCAGAACAAAAAAAAAGTATGCATTATATTTCAAAGGATTATTATTGAGATTAAAAAAAAAAAAGGGCTGGGCATGGTGGCTCACACCTGTAATCCCAGCACTTTGGGAGGCCAAGGCAGGCAGATCACATGACGTCAGGAGTTCGAGACCAGCCTAGCCAACATGGTGAAACCCTGTCTCTACTAAAAACAGACACACACACACACACACACACACACACACACACACACACACAAAATTAGCTGGGCATGGTGGCGTGCGTCTGCAGTCCCAGCTACTCAGGAGGCTAAGGCAGGAGAATTCCTTGAACCCAGGAAGTGGAGGTTGCAGTGAGCTGTGATTGTGCCACTGTACTCCAGCCTGGGTGACAGCAAGACTCCATCTCAAAAAAAAAAAAGAAATAATGTATGTAAAGAATTTGGATACTCAGTAAGTGGCAACATTATTTATAACCAATATTAACAATATTAGTAATAATAAAAATACATATCTTATTACCCTATAATATTCATTCTACCTCCCACTCAAAGCTACATACTAAACTTAGAGTACTCAACTGTACCTCCGTATATATTCATTGCTAACATTCTAGTCTTAGAAAATACCACACAAGCTTATACCTAAAATAGCTACAATAATTTAAAAAAATTTTAACCAATAGCAGAATTTGAAAAATAATTTCCAGGGTAATTTGGCCAAAACATTTTTTGCATTTTGTACCCTCAACTGGACAAAGAATAAATATGCTAAAAATCAAATCAAACAGAAAGGGGGAGAAGGTGTAGGATGAAACAAAATTTTATGAGGATCTTTGTATATTGTGTTTTTAGTGTCTCAAAATCCTCCAGCCTATTTCTAGTACATCTCAGCCTACTGTAAAGTGGGGAACAGAAAGGAAGAAACTATCTACTTAAGAATAGAATCTATTGAAAACAAATACAAAAACAGAAGCTGCATTCACTCCTGAGCTTAGAAAACAGTCCCAGTAGTTTGCAGTTGAAGCGGGAAGGGGTAGTGAGAAGGAGCCACTGTTGAGGTCTGCGAAGGTCTGTGCTGCATATTCATTAATTGAGCTGATAGTAACTGAATGATCCTTTTACACAGGAGAAAGTGTTCCACTAGAGGATTACCAACTAATGAATGGGCAGGATATGAAAGTGTGGCTCATGTGAACTTGGCATCGGGCGCCAATGAGATGACACAAAAGGTGGCTCCAACACACAGCCCTTCCTGGTAGTGCTGAGTGAGTGACCTGGAGATCCAGCCATTTCCAGATGTCCACCTGACTTTCTTGCTCTGAGCCATGTCACAATACACACACAGCCATATCCATGGAGAAGTGCTTCTCAGTGGCACAGTAAGGTGCTGTGTGGGAACTTGAACTTTATTAATAACTTAAAGCGCCTAAGACTGAAGAAACACCCTCTGCTGGTGTTTTATCGTGGATTAGCTCCCTCTTACATACAAGGTAAGGTTTTCCATCTCTGTGGTTTGTGGGTCTCCTTCGTAGTAATAGAAAATGATTTTCTCTCATTTCTTCACTCTCTTGTGGGGTAGTAGGAGGGATAGTAGGTAATGGTAGAGAGCAAATTTTCCAGATTGGCTAGAATATTTAGTGAATTAATTGTGAGCTACTATCTTCCATGTTATATATGGACCAGACCAGCAGACAGATGACTAGCAACTAAAATATTATTTTAGAAAATCCACATAGAATCTCTGAATTTAAATAATCTTCAGCAATGGCTCATAGTAAAGACAGGATAGAGTGTGAGTTTTAGTTATCAGCTGTCAAGACTGCAAGGAATTAAACCGATCCAGAGAAGTCCTACTTAAAGTGCGAAGTCTGCATTACAGACCTGGGTATCTGCTGTGGGTTTTCTCCCTCTGCCGACCTTTTTCCTTTTGTCGTTTTGCAAGCAGACTTTGCTCAATACTTCTGCAGCTATTTCAGTGTCCACAGAGAAATGCTGCTGTGTTATATGCCAACTCTAAATGTACTTTTATCTCGCTGCTTTTCTTTCCAGTCAGGTGTTTTATAATAACAAACAGTAACAAAGGCTTTTTTTTTATTACTTAAGATATTCAGTGGCTTTTGTCTTCCTAGCGTCAGCAGTAACGTCAGAGGATTGTATCCAAGGAGCTAAATGTGCAGGACCCAGGGTCAGAGCAGCTGAATACACCAACCTCAGAAAACACAGACAATGAATTGCAAATGACACTCAAAACAAAACGAGAAAAAAAACCTTCACACAGAAAACTACAAAAGAACTCTACAGACACTGAATTGGCTTTCTGTACACACTGATCCTGCTTAACTGTGTGTGGTAACTAACCAAACGTTTCAGATACTCATGGCCACATATAAAGGGTTTTTCTTTTCTTTTCTTTTCTTTTTTTTTTTTGTGTGGGAAGCAGAGTTATAAAAATAAAAATATTATTTCTTTCTTTCAAGTCTATTCTTTATTTTTTAAAAAAGCTTCACTACATGGAGATAGCTGCAGCTCTTTCTGTTTCGATCTTCAAACACACTAAAGAGTGGCATTAGCGATGAAGTGATTAGTCTTCCGTTAATTCTGCTGAAGGTTCCACACAAAAGGTGTATTGTTTCAGCTGGGATTCACATCATGAAACAAAATGGTTTGGTAAACCCAATAGAAGTGATAGCCCTTTCATGATACACAGGGTTCAGTACTGTATATTTCAACTTGTTAGCAAGTCAGAAGCACAAGCGGGAAATCAGCCTACACCGCTGCTGAGGATGAATGGAAAGGCTAAATTGATGAGCTGCTGTTTAGATTTTCCCACTGGGAATGATTCTCAACTGTCCAGGCATTACATCATTCAGGTAAATAGTAGCAGGATAAAATGCTTTTTATTTCTTGGTAGCTAACCAGAGGGCAATATAAAAACTTGAAAAGAAATATATCTACTCTCTATCCATAATGAAGAAATAGGGTTTCTTAATTGCCAAGCTATGGTCAGTTGCAGCTGGTTGTTGGTAACGGAGGAGCTAAATGCATTCCGGTTGTTACCCAAAGGCAATGCAGTGCCTCCCTCTCTACATTTTTACAGTTTCTTTATGAAGCCCCTTGCATCATACTTTAAATCAGAGATGGCAATCATACTGGTGTCATGGGCATATACGAAAATAAAATTTATTAAATATACTAGGATTTAAATGATTTTAAAAAACATTTCAAAAAGCTTTATAAGTAAAACTTTTTTTGTGGCGGGTAAGGGGGCACCAGCATTCTCTCTGTATTACCTTCAAGATAAAACTCAAACTCCTCAACATATGGCACTTCCCTTTCACGCCTCTGTACCATGCTACACTAGGCAGCCACACCAAAGAACTGAGACCTCTTACGCCATACTTGCTCACACTTCCATACCTTCAAATATACTCAGTCTTCCAAGACTCAGCTCAGCTCTACCCTTCAGAAACAACCCACTCTTACTTTAAGTGACCTTCCTCCTCTAATTTTCTTAGATTTTGGTTTTCAATTACAGCATTTATTACACTAGATTGGGTTATTGTTTTATTTGTTGGTCTCCTCTACTAGACTCTGAACTCCCTGAGCACAGGACTCTGCCTCATCTCTCTATTTTCAGGCTCCAGCCTCATGTCTAGTCTACAGTTATGCTCAATAAATGTTACAAATGAATAAATAAATATATGAAAGGAAGAAAAAGAGAAAGAGGAAGCAAAATAAACTCAGGAATCAGTGTGACATGAATTGGATAAGTTTTAGGAGATACATTAGCAATTGCAAGGGTATAATGGGTTCGGGGATTGTCAACCAGGCAATTACTAGGTACATTTGAATAGACATCGTACATCTTTATCTGTTTTTTTCTCCCTCTTCCTCCTTAAGCTTGAGTTTTTCTGCCCTTTCTCCCATCTCTCAAGGTTAACAAGTTACATCTTACAGGGCTTTTCTCTTTACATTTATCCCTCTTAATTATGTGACACTAATTATATATTGCTTTGTTTTCTTGAAGGAAACAAGTTTAGAGAGGTTTTCTCCATTTTTGTTTAAGCTTTAGACATGGCAGGGCACCAAGCCTTGCAGAGTTTCATACGTAACTCCCTGGGCTTGGTAACCCTCCGGTGTTCCCAGTGCCTGATTTGTTTAAACATATAATACTGGTGAAGCAGGAATAAAGGTGTAAGATTTTTTCCAAAAGTATTTCCAAGTATTTAGAACCAACTTTCAAGAAGGAAATCTTACCCATGGCTTGTTTCCCCATGGCACACTGGTAAGTGTTTCTCGGTGACTGGTTATGGTGAGGGTATGGGATCAGTCCAGCACACACGCCGAGAAGAGTGAAGGGCTCAATCTCCAAGTGGGTGGTGTCTCTAATAAGTTAAGTAAAAATCACATATCTTAAGCATCAAGTACAAACATAAATTTCTCTTAAAGGGTATAAAAATATTGTTATTTAGGTCCTCAGGGGATTTATATGTCAATAAAATTTGATGCTAGTAAAACTGGTAAAATAAAAACATACTTAAATAAAATACAACAAAATGTAAGAACTTGTAATTCACACATAAATTACTATATTCAACATATAGAAATACATCAACAATATCCACATGGATGAGTAGCCTGCTTTTCCTCATTCTTCTAACATATATCAATAAGCACATTGTATCACCACTTAAGAGTGGAATATACGTCCTCTAAGAATAGTTACTAGCTGGGCACAGTGGCTCACGCCTGTAATTCCAGCACTTTGAGAGGCCAAGGCAGGTGGATCATGAGGTCAAGAGATCGAGACCATCCTGGCCAACATGGTGAAACCCTGTCTCTACTAAAAATACAAATTAGCTGGGTGTGGTAGCGCGAACCTGTAGCCCCAGCTACTTGGGAGGCTGAGGCAGGAGAATTGCTTGAACCCCGTGGGAAGCGCCCGAGGTTGCAGTGAGCCGCAGAAATCCATCCACTGCACATCCCAGCCTGCGGCGACACACCGCGAGACTCTGTTCATCACAAAAAAAAAAAAAAAAAAAGAATAGTTACTATAGGCCCAGGGCCTAGTGGCTCATGCCTATAATCCCAAGCATTTGGAGCGTCCTAAGCGCAGGTGATCACTTGAGGTCAGGAGGGTCAAGAACCAGCCTGGCCAATACAGTGAAACCCTGTCTCTACTTGAAAAAAATACAAAAAATAGGC